TCCGCGCGCCATGACTGCTCCTCGAGGTCCCCCCGGGTGCGCCGCCGCTGGTCCAGTCGTTTCACCGCCACCACCGACCAGTCATCCAGCGTTGCTCGGTACACCGTCCCGAAGGAGCCGCTTCCCACGACGTTGGCCTGGGCCCCTAACGACACAGGAAAAAGACACGTTAACCAAGCTTGGTTTGGGGTTGGTTAAGTGCCCTGTAACCAAGCGAAGCTTGACCGCCACCACCAACCGGTCACTCAGCACCGCCCGGTACACCGTCCCAAAGGAGCCGCTTCCCACGACGTTGGCCTGGGCCCCTAACCACACAGGAAAAAAATAGGCGTTAACCAAGCTTGGTTTGGGGTTGGTTAAGTGCCCTGTTACCAAGCGAAGCTTCACCGCCACCACCGACGCGTCACTCAGCACCGTCCGGTAGACCGTCCCAAAGAAGCCGCTTCCCACGACATTGGCCGGGGCCCCTAACCACACAGGAAAAAACCGGCGTTAACCGTTAGCTTGGTTTGGGGTTGGTTAAGTGCCCTGTTACCAAAGGAAGCTTCACCGCCACCACCGACCAATCACTCAGCTCCGCCCGGTACACCGTTTCAAAGGAGCCGCTTCCCACCACGTTGGCCGGGGACCCTACATTTTTTAGAGATATCTTGAAGACATAAATCAAAATATAACAATCAAAAATACAATAAAAAGGACAAACAGAGCACCAAAGTAACCCTACCCATCCCAGTGCGGTTAACTTGTTATCATCTCGGCATATCATTATCTTTTTTTAAGCAATGGGGTCCCTACCCACACACGTACACGTCAGGAAGAGATTGGCATTGACCGGGCTTAGTTTGGGGTTGATGAAGGGGCCTGATGTGGTTCAACCACTTCAATTTTACGACCAATCGTGGTTAAGGCCGAAAGCTTTCAAAACGGGATACGTCAAGGATCCAAATTAATAGCCGGGTAGGCTTCTGGAGGTAAAGCCAACAATCAAACCTCAAGTCTAAGCCCAGATGGACAGATCATCAGAATCGATTCAGCTCTCGTTGAATTCAAAGGAGAAGATGAACAATGCAATCGACCACAAGCGACATTGTGGCACGCTTCTTGTAAGGCTCGTTTTCGGCCACAGAAGAACGGAAACCGAAACGGAAACGGAATCAAGAAACGGAATGTCAGGACGCACATCCACCGGTCGCCGCTCTGAGCTCCGCCAGAGTGAAGGCGTGGTTCCAGTAGGCGGAGCCTGGGCGGCGGGAGGCCCCGCTGCCCGCAGAGGAATGCATTGGCAGAGACATTTCCTTGGCAGAGAAGTCTCCTGCGCTCATAGGCGGGGGCCGCTTATGCCTCCGGTATAAGATGCACCCGACGATGATGCCGATAAGCGCCGCGCAGATCGCCCCCGCGGCGGCACCGGCTATGATTCCGACCGGGGAGCTGGAGGATTCGGGCGGCGGGGCAGAGTTTCCGGGCGGGGGGGAGACGAAAGGCGGGTTTGGCGGGGGGGGGATGTACTCCGGGGGGGAATTGTACTCGAGGGGCTGTTAGCGGGGGGACTGCTTGTCGACGTGACGCTGAGACCAGTGTTACCCGGTAGTACGTTGTCGGATCCGAAGCGGGCCAGGAACCCGGAGGATATCGTCCCGGTCAGGTTGTTGCGAAAGAGCGTGAGCGTTTTCAGCCCCAGGGGGTTTGCTAGTTCTGGCGGAACCGGGCCCGTGAGATGGTTTTGGCTGAGTAGCAGAGCGGACAGATCGGCGAGGTTGCCTAGTTGGGGGGGTATAGGGCCTGACAGGTTGTTGTTCAACAGGTAAAGCTCATTAAGGCTGGTTAGCTGTGCGAGTTGTGGGGGGATGGGGCCGGACAATTGGTTATTCCCCAGAGAGAGGGTTAACAGGTTGGTTAGCGCGCCCAACTCGGCAGGGATGGAGCCCGATATGTTGTTTCGCTCGAGAACCAGGTACTGCAGATTGGTTAGCTGACCGAGGGTTGGGGGAATTGGGCCCGACAAGGAGTTGTTGTTTAGGAAGATGCTCGTTAACCGGGTTGTGGAACCCAACTCTGGTGGGATGCTGCCGGATAGGCTGTTGTTCCACAAAAACAAGTTGGTTAAGCTGACCATGTTCCCTAGCGCTGCAGGAATCGGCCCTGAGAGCTGGTTGTTTTGCAGCGCAAGAGCCGTGAGCTGGGTGAGCGAGACAAACTCCGGAGGGATCCCCCCGCTCAGTTGGTTAAACTGCAATCCCATGACGGTCAACTGCAACAGGTTTGCAAGTTCGACTGGGACAGGCCCCGTCAGGTTGTTTTCATACAGTTCCAGGTCGAGTAAGCTGCTCATTCCCGCCAAAGCCGCCGGAATAGAGCCGTTCAGCCGGTTTCTTCCCAAGTTTAGCACTGTGAGGCTGGTCAGGTTTCCGAGGTTGGGGGGGATGGGTCCCGAGAGTCGGTTCCCATTAAGATTCAGCTTTTGGAGCTTAATTAACCCGCCTACCTCTGAGGGCAAACCCCCGGTCAGATTGTTATACCCCAGGTTCAGTTCCGTAAGGTTGCCCAGCTTACCGATCTCGGGAGGGATCCCTCCCGAAAGGTTATAACGGCAGATCCATAGGACGGTGAGGTTTGTCAGATTGCCAATCTCGGGGGGAATGGGTCCTGAGAGGGAGGGAAGGGGGGGGGGTCCAAATGGGGAGCAGATGTTGAGGGCGGTTTGACTGGCTAGGGGGCCCACTGTCAGGCGCTGTAAATCGTCGAGGGTGAACGAGGCAACATGGGCTTGCTTGTTGCAGAGAACTAATGTCAGAAACAGAAGGCTGAAAGCTGCCCATTGTCGTGAACCCATGTTGATAGGCATATGTGTTGTCAAGGGAAGGGACTGGACTGGAACTCTTTTTGTACCTGCATTGAAGCAAGTAGAACTGAGGGTCGGAAGAACAGCTGACATATCCAGATTCTGTTGGACGCAAAGTGGACTACATTTTTCGCGGTAAAACAGCAAGTACAGGTGATGTTGTGAGATAGATTTCACCAGAATTGCAGAAAGTTTGACCTATCTGCACATCAACAGTTGCCCCCAAAAGCCTCAGAGATATCCAAACCTCACTTCACAAAACAAACAAGAAAAAGGCAGACAGTCTATAACCTGCTGTAAGTTGGGCCATAAGCCACTTTCAAAAGGTTTTGCTGAATTGCAAGTTGCCACAGCATTCATGCCAGAAGCCATGTCAATGTAGGGCCTCCACTTTGAGAAGAGCCTTCATTGAATAATGAATGCAAAACTGGAAGTATTTGAAGACTCTCACTGACCAATGTCGTCATCTCTCAAAGGGCAACCAACCAGTGTCTTAGCTTCTGCGAAGCACAAGCCAAGCAATTGGCACAAACCCTGCATATGGATGTAAGCCGCTACAAAGGAATTGTGGATGAGACTGGACCAAAACAAAAAGGTGGCAAGAGGCACCCCTCAAGCAGCCAAATCTGAGGGCACTTTACACGGGCCGGGAGCATCCAAACTAGCTTCTCAATCTCACAGAAGCCTCTTTTATATTCTATATTCTTGATGTTTTTGAAGAACGGCCTCCTTCACAACATGTCCAATGGTTTGAAAAAATAAAATGGGAGGATTAGTACCCAACAACAACATGGTTACCGGCCTTTGAGGAGACAGAATCTGATGACATTGCAATAATGACATGCTTGTCTCACAGAGGCAAATCAGATCAACAACCCAATAAAGCCAACTAGATGCGGGGTGACCAAAGAAGTTGGTGATTGAACGCTACTGGTTCACGTTACCAGCTAGCCATAGCGACTGCAAGCCATTCTAAGCAGCTTTGTGGCAAATCTTAAGCAATTCACCAAGGATCTTAGAGATTCATTAATCTGACGAGTACAAACCCTTCTCACCTTGCAACGACGTTGTGGAGCGGACCTCTGTTACCAAGTCTTATTGCCGGTATATATCTTCCCCCCTCCTTCGGCGTCTTTCTCATGGAGCGTGCATTGCAACCTATTAGCAGGCAACCAACGTTCTTTGTCTTCTCTCCCCAGCGGCTACTATCAAGAGCGAACTCATCCCTCGAAGAAGCCCTTGAAGGTTGTCAGTCTAGCAGTTGTTGCGTGTACCAACTCCAACTGCAGGTTCTTGCTTAGCACAAAGCCGCCACAACTGATGAACATTGGTATCTCTGTTGCATGACAGGTCCACTTAGCGCTCATTTTATAGCTTCCACCAAATCTGGCCCAGCAGCGAAGGTGCCGGATGCATCCGCCATTATGCAAGTCCAAGTCACACTAGACAGTAATGGACTGAAGCAGACTGAGAGGGATCCCGTCACCGCTTCCAAGGCCGCGCAATGTTTTCCGGAATCCGTACTACGATCGAGGCCGTTCGTAGAGTCGTAGTCGCCGATCTCATCGTACGGATGTCGTCATAGTTTGTTCGAGTCGTTGACCGGCAAGCGCGCGCGCACTGATTCTTGTCCAGCGGCCCTGGTTAGGATAAGCGACGGTTTGAATGCGAAACCGCATGACCTTCAGTGCAAGGGCTCTAATTCGAGGATTTTTATAGAAGTAAACTTGCTTTGTAAGGTCTGATTTACAAGGAACTCGAAGACGTGGGGTGACCTAGTAAGAAAGTGAGGGTGGGCAAGCCATTAATCGTGATTGGGGTTTTAGGGGGGTTTTAGTGTTGGTTAAGCAGGAAACTCTTCAATTAGTTTATCACCCTGTAAGTTTAATGGTACCACCACGCACCAGCTAGTTGGAGAAAGGAATGTTACAGTATACAGTAGTACTGTATGTGTGATGTACCTACGGTAGTGCAATACCGCAGATATGTAATCATAAACTTCAATAGTAATAAGGAACTTATGGGGCAGGGGTACGGGTAGGGTTAGTTTACCGTAGTGTACAGATGTTGCAACGTTGCAGAGCCTTGCGCCATTGCATCTCCAACAACGTCATCGTGAGATCAGCGGATCCAATCCAATCTTCTGCACCAAGTACTGGGCTTATACAGCCTAAGTTGGTACCAACACCTAGTAGTCTATGTAGCCTGGAGGACCTAGGCTACACCAAAATCCCAAGGCTCATGTCAGATAACCTATTCAACAGTAGCAGCACTCCGCATGCAGGCTAGCGGTACAACTTAGTCCAGCTCAGGTCCCGTGCAATCATAAATGTACCCACGTTCAGATCTGTCCGGAATCTGGATTGCAGAATCTACCTATCCTGACGTGTCAGCCAGGACATCGTTTCAGCAAACTTGCGGCTACCATACCTTAGTCTAGTAGCCGCCAGCTTCTCGAGAAGCTGGGCGACCTCCGGGCGTGTGTGGCAGCTTCCGCCGCGCCCTTAATAGGGCTTGGCTGATGGTTCAGGTTTGAAGTCAGCAGATCCAGATGCCTCAAGAAACGCAGAACGTTGTGTACCAGACATGTGCAGCATGTACTGATTCATTTGTGGCGCTCGATCAACTCAGCACTGACAAAGTTGAGCGGACCCTTTCGGCGGGCTGTGATGAGATGATGGTTACAGAACGTGATATTGGTGTCAGCGTCTCCAATTCCGCGCTCAGCCCACTTGATAGGAAGGCATATGACCCTCTCTTGGTGACTCAATTCGGTTGGAGTCTGCAGGAATGATTTCCAATCTTAGAAGTGGATCTCCCTAGTCTTAAGACCTAAGTGCCTGAGTGCTCTTTCTACTGCTAGGCGAGGCTTGCAAATCGAGCCTCCGAGCAAGGGTGAATGATATAACAGTTCTCAGGCAAATTTTGCCCTTAGCTGAGTCTCGTTAAGAGGACTCTGCTCATGAACATGTGGTCCGTAGGGAGAGGGAAGCACTAATCTGACAAGTTCGGATCCACTCGTGCGGCAGTGTAATGGGGCCTTCAGAATAATGGGCAGATCTGTTGGTCTGAGTGAAGCGCCGCTAAGGCCCGAGAGAAACGCCTGTCGCTAATCAAGTGACTAAGGTTCGGGTCAGGCATAAGGGGATTGGAATACCAGAGCAACTGGTGTACCAGATCAGATGCTGTGACCAGGCAAGAGAAGCAAGCAATCTGAAGGCTAATCTGGGAAGAGATTTGCAAGAGGTTTGCGAGGGTAGCCATACCTGGGTTGGGGCTCTCTTCTGCTCCACGATTCGTAGCTAGCGCCAAGACTGAAGTGAGTGCCACAAACCCTATCCCAGGAACAGCTGCACTGGAGAACCAGACCAGTTTTCGATCACAAATACAGACCGTATACTTTTCTCAAGGCTTGCAAAACTGGGGCTGCTGAGGCGCCTCCGACCAGTGTAGCTACGTTCAAAAGTGACCTAGTCCTAACAATCCCGCAAGAGCCCACTGGATAGGATTCGGTAGGGACAATCCTCAACCGGTCTCCTGCTCTTGCGCCCCTCTCCTTCAACCCAGAATATAGACTCATTGCTGCATGCTCCTCTTCTCGCCAGCCGTTCAAGAAGCTCATGGCGGCAAACTCTGCCTTCCTGCAGCATTTGGAATCTGGGCTCCCAAGCTCGACTCATAATCAGGTCTTGTGATGGACGTTGCATCCTGTGGCGCATTGGACGACTTGGGGCGACGCTGGGGGCCTTGCCGCAGCTTCTTTTGGAAGTGAAGGTAAGCGCGACCGTTTGGCGCTTCAAACGGGATTAGTGTCAACAACAGTGGGTTTTGTTGATGGAGCTCAGGAAGCTGGAATGAGGAGGTTTGATAGTAGACGCCTTCCGGAACCAGGAAAGGAGTTGGATGATGGGACGGCACGCAACTCTGGGTATGGCCTCAGCAGGCAGGAGTGCTACCACTTTCGAAGGAGAAGATTTCAAGTGCCACCTCGCCAACGACAGGCTTTGAGCGATTGCAGCTTCAGGGGCTTGTAAGGCCAACACGCATTCGCCGAATTCTGTATAGCGTACAGAGTTGCGGTTCTTATTTGGAGTGACAAATTTGGTGGGGTTGCGCTGCCTTTGGTCGTCAAGAGCAGGGAAAACGTCCCTGGAAGTGACGTCAAGGATGTGTTGCGCAATCTGATGAGATCTGCCGAAAAGTCAGTCAGCGGTGCCGGCAGAAACATCTACAGCTGTCAACTTACAGCTGTTGCTTCAATCCAAGTGGTCAAGGAACGTCAATCAGGACAAGTTAGTTGGCCAGCACATCGAGCAGAGGCGCTCAAAGCCGGCCTGGTCACATGAGCGGGTCGAGCAGAACTTTCTGAGTTGGTCCGCCGCTTAAGAGACTTGGTCGGAGAAGCGTTTCAGCTGTCAGAGTATGCACGCCTTTGGCTTTTAGGAGCCACGGAAGCCGTCCGCACAATGGAGGCGGAACCGATGGAGTTCGGCTTCGTGCCGAGCCGCATCGTGCGCGAGCTCGGGGAGATCGGCAATTGGAAGGTGCGCGCGGACGCGATCGAGACGCTGCAGCGATTGGTGGGGGCCATCAGGTGAGCCTCTTCGTTATCATACTGGACTTCTGATCGACCTCTGCTGACCGAAGCAACGGTCAGCAGCGGTCAGCAATGGTCAGCAGCAGCTGTCAGGAACGCTCAGCAGCGGTCAGCAACGGTCAGCAGCTTCCAATTAGTATCAACACCCGGGAACGGGTGCGGTTGGTTAGGGGGAAGGATGGGTGCAGGCACGGGGCGCGTCATTGGGGTGGGTCAGAGTTTCGGGTTAAGGTTTCCAAGCCCTCACTATCTTACTGCAAGTTACTGTCCGTAAAAGCTAGACGGTTGCTAGTATTTTGCAGGAGCTTCTCGACGGTGGCACTGAAAGATGAGAAGGCTTAGAGCTTCCCACTCTTAGGGCGGCTCGATATGAGCAACGCGTTTCGAATGAGAGGCACCTTTACTAGTGTTTGCATGGAGGCACGACTTGAAAACTTCGACGGAAAGTAAGCCATGAGCTACGTGACCTCGTCTCTCGAGGTCCCCGTCTCTCGTCGAGGATCATTCTCGTCTCTACTCGAAATTATCAACTTTCACCTTGACGGAGGCGGTACCCTCTCCAGGAGATTCAAGCAACTACAGATTTACAAAGCAACAAGGTTGGGAGAGGAAGGCTTTGAGCTGGCAACCGTTCCAGTCTGAGCATGTATACGTCCTTCGTGGCTGCAGCGACAAGCAAAGCCTGCTGCCAACGCTCGGCTCCTTCGTGGCCTTCATGCTCAAGCTTCTGGCGGACCCAAACTTCAAGATCTCGCTCACCGCAATGCAGGTCAGTCGCCCAGCCTCTTCAAAATTTTCACTTGGATGTTGGATTTCATTGGGCGACGGTCCAAATCTCACCTAATCGCTTGGGATGTGAGAATGAAGGTGGTTTGGCCTATCATTTCGAGCGTTTCCTGCTCCACATATGAGCTTTCCGACTTGCCTTTTCCTTCCAGTCCCCTCTCCAGGAAATATGCAAGCACAGCTCTACGGTTACTGACTCCTGTAATCTTTCTTTGAGCTGCCCAGTGCACCAAACAGATACTTCAAACCACTGTTTATTGCCGGCGAACTGATCTCTTGTACCGGTGGCAGGTTCTCGGCGACCTAGTTCTCAAGACCGGCCCCTCTTTACGGCCCTTCCTGGTCGCCCTCCTCCCGGGCTTGGTTGGCAAGCTGGGCGACTCCAAAATCGTGGTCCGGCAAGCAACGGTCAAAGTCCTGCGACAACTGCACGGGAGTCTGGGTCAAGCGGCGGTCTTAGCGGCTATGGAAGAAGTGTATGACGTCAGCAGCAGTGGGGCGGCTAAGGAGGAGATCGTGGCTGCGGTTATCACGATGCTGCCGGACGGGGCCGGGAGCGATGCGGACGTTGTCGGAGTTATGCGAATGTTGGGCGGTATTGTGAAGCACAGAGACGGGTAAGCAGGACTTCTGGTCGATAATTGGATTGTGTGCTCGGAGTTTCCTGCGTAGCAAGTGTCATATGCCAAAAGTGGATGTGGAGACGGTTGGGTTTTCAGGCTGTTACTGAAATCGTACTTACTGTGTCAGGACAGAGATCACAACTCCCATGCGGGGATCTTTTAATGGTAAGATGAGAATCGGCTATGTGCCCAAAGGAGAGACCTAAAGTAGCTGGAGTAGTCATGAGGTTGCTCAGTCTTCTTCATCAAATCAGACAAGCAGAAGAAAATCAGGTCCACCCCGTTTGCTTCGCCGTCGTGCGCCTGTCGGGCAGCCATTATACCGCAATTTTTCAATCCGTTCTTGCCGTTGGAGCTCCTAGAGATTGCAATAAACATTATCAGCTCTCGATCTCAGTGTTTGAGTTTCTGCGTTTTCTTCTTTGCAGTACCCGGACGGTCGCACTCGACGCCTTCACCGCCCTCCAAGACATGGTCGGGGCGAGCCGCATGCAGGCGCTTCTCCCGCAGCTCGGTTCCGAGGGATCCCTCTCCGAGATAAACGACCGTTTGCGCAGTCACGCGCTACACTCGGACTCGCCCCCCCGGGCACCTCTCGTGATCACCGGGGCGGCCGCGCCTCTTCTGGGGGGGTTGGGCGCCGACGTTCGGAACCTCCCCGGACAGAAACCAAGCGACGAGCCTATCTTTGAGAGGAACCGGGGGATCCCCCCGGCTAAGGGGGGAATGTTCGGAGACGGGGGGGAGGCGAGCACGAGCTCGGTAGGTGGGCGGTCGAGAAAATCGGTCCCGTGGGAGATCCCGGTTCCTCGTTCCAGGGGGGTAGAAAGCCCGGTACTTTCGCCAACCTCCCCCCTAAGCGTCGGATCGTCTGCGTCTGATACCGCGCCCCCCCCCCTCGACACGGGCCAAAACCGGCCCCCACTTTTGAAGACGACTGTTTTGGGAGATCTAGACGAGAGCCACGACAATTCAGCCCCCCGCCGGTCGGTGGGTCACGGCCCCCCGGGGCAGGTGATAAAACGGCGGCCCAGCCGCGGGGGGGTCCAGGAACGGGGCCAGGACCCCCCCGACCCGGCGACGCTGCTCGTCGCCGGCCGCAGCGCGCACGCGGGGGGGTCGAGCCCCGAGCTTCTGGCACCCCCCGGTAGAAATTCAGAGGTTGTGCGGCCCCTGAGCCTGCTAAAAGTGGACTCGGGGAAGGGGTGTGGATTCACGCCTCTGAGCCCGGGGGGTATTTCGGGGGTGGGCTTGCAAGCGCCGGAGGGCGTTTCGGGGGGCTGGGGCCGGGAGAGCAGCTTCATGGAGCGAATCCAGATGTCGGCGGCGCGGAGCAACAGCGAGCGGGATGCGGGGGCGCCGGCGGGCCGCATCAGCAGTGACGTCAGCAGGAGTGGAGACGGTTCGGAAGCAGGTAGGGACCACGAAGCTCTCTAATACTTGGGCTTTGAGAAAAGTGCACTTTTCGCTCCTTATCCATATCTCGAGAAACAGCGAAGAGATAACATCCATTGAAGAGCAGATGAAGTGCTCTTCTGTCCCATTCAGCGGCCTTTTGTTTCGAAGCAAGAGCTTTGCACGGATCAAGGAGAGATGTGCTTTAGCTCGACAAGTCAGTAAGATAAGAACTGTCGTCACGTCTTTCCTGTCCCAACACGAGAAGCGATGAACGAATCGTCAACCTCTGACACAATCCCAAAAGTCCAGCGAGAAACTAGCGCGTGTCTTAGGAAAATCCACTTTTCCAGGTCGGCATCGAGGGCGGGTCGACTTCGTCGACTCTTCGTCAGATCGGCACCTCGAGGGGGGGGCATCTCTTTCCCAGCACGGCATCTTGCTGACCGCAAAGTCCCCCCCAGTAGATCCGCCCATCAAAGCGCGGACCGGAAGCCTCAAGTCCGCCATGAAAGCCGGAACCTCTCAGGGCGGAGTGACCGGAACGAACGACCAGTTCGCAGCGCATGGCGACGACGGACTGAGACGCAGCGGAAGCAGCTCGTCGCTTTGGGGGGGGGACAGCTCAGGGGCTACTCAAAGCGCAGCGCTCCCCCCCCTCGCGGCGGAATCAAGCACGGAGTCCATCCTCCGGTCGCCTTTGGCGTCGCCCTTCTCTCCGACCGCCCCTCAAAATGGTTTGGCGCGCGCGGCAGGGGGGATGAGTCGCGGAATGGCGTCTCCCAAACCCCCCCCAAAGCGCGCAAGCTCCGAGCTGCGCATGGCACCCGCGAAAGCGGGGGATGACGATTCCAGCAACCCGGATACCCCCTCGGCGCGCTCCGAAGAGGGGGGGCGGGGGGAAAATAATAGCAGAAACGACGCGTACTCGTTCCGGGGGGGTAGCTCCATGAAGATGGCCCAGACGTGGGGGTCCGAAGAAAAGCGTGGTGCGCCGGATCTGCGGGGGGGTGAAGCGGGGGCGCGCTGGGCGAGCCCCGCGGAGGGGGGGGAAATTGGGAGAAATCTGCGCGCGAGCTTGGGAGACGGGAGCGATTCCGAGAACAAGGCGACGATTCGGGGGAAGCTCTCCATTCTGAAGAAGAAGCAGGGCAGCCGACGCGTGCACAGCGCGAACTCCGCGTTACAGCGCATCCCGAACAGCTACAGCGAAGGTGACGTCAGCGTGGCGGACCTGAAATCGTCGCAGGCGCCGTTCGCGCTCGCGCTCGCGCACAAGTTCGCGCCCGGGACCGCGGCCGCGGGCAGCACCGCGTACCACGACGGGGAGTTCGACGGCGGCGGGATGACGTCGCCCGGCGGGGGCGCGCGCGCGCGGGGCCGCACCGCGGCGTCCCCGGACCCCAGCGAGGGTTTGAGCGACGACCCGTTTGCGAGCCGGTTCAAGATCGGGTTTGGGTCGCAAAGCGGGCGCGGGGGGGAGAGTCCCGCGTTTCCAGAGGAGGGGGAAATCGAAAGGGCTCCGGAAGGGGGGGGGACGAAACTAGTGCGGCGGGTTTCGAAGGCGACGCTGCAGCGGCGCGCGACGAAGCAGACGGAGGCCGCGGCCGCGGCCGCGCTGGGGCTTCCGACTGACGTCAGCGTCGGGGAGGGGTACTCTGAGACCGGGACGTCCGGTCGGGACCGCGAATTTAAGGCGAATGCTTCGCGGCTTTCCGGGGGGGGTCGGGATGAGATACAGCTGAAAGGCGGTCGGTCGATTAGTCCCAGTCGGCAGAGGGCGACCGCGGAAGCGGACGCGCTGCGAGGGATGTCGCCCCCGAAGAGCTCCGGGAGAGGGGGGATGACCGGTAGGGATCTGGCGGCGGCGGCGGCGAAGCCAATGGACGAGATCCTGACGGAGGATCTTCAGGTAAGAGATGCGAACAGGCCACATTTTGATTGGATAAAAATCTTCTGGTGAAACAAGTCAAGGACGATGGATAGTGCAGATGGGCTTGGTAAGTAACGAGCCAAGTACAGTAAAGTTTTTTTGGGTAACAGTGAGGATCGACGAGAGCCGTCTTCCTACCTTCTAAAATAGCTTCGCAGCTTCTCAACCCTCAAATGTGTTTGCGTGTCGCAAATGAAGCTTGAAGAATCTGAATTTTGATCGGGATGTTTTGGTGACAAAGCTACGTTCTCAGGCGAAGGACATATGCACTCTCCGTGTCCAAATGCGTCAATCCAGCTGTGTCCAAATGCGTCAATCCAGCTCGACAATCAAGACGAGACTCCAGCTCACCTTTATTTTTCGGGCCTAGATCTTTACCTGAACGTGCTTCTTCTCCCTATTCTCAGCCCTGCGCGTACCCGGAGCGCGAGGTGCGCGAGGCCGTGTCGTGCCTCGTGCGCGCGAACCTGCAGCGGCCCAACCAGGGCACCATCGACTGGAGCGAGCAGTACGAGGCGATCAACGTCATCCGCCGCGCGGCGGTGCACCATGTCGCGCAGTTGCAGCCGGAGCTGAAGGCCGCGGTGGTCGCGCTGGTGCCGTCGTGCGATAACCTGCGCTCCTCGCTCGCCAAAGTGAGCGCGCGCACAAGCTGTTTGGCTGCTAATAAATCTACTCATGTGGCTGCTCACAATCGCACGATTGCTACTGGCTGCTTCGGGCCCGTGTGAACATTTTAAGAGGACGACATCTCTTAGTGTTTGCAATACTTTTGCTTGGCTTCAACCTTCGCTTGCCAGGTACTTTCGAGAAAATTATCATTCAACGACTCGCTGTCTCGCTGGCGGAACTTTTCAGTCAAGGAGAGCCGTGACTATCCTTAGCCACATTGATTCAAGCCCAGGTCCTTAAATCCTCAAACGGAACCTTCAAACCACTGGCCTTGACACCCTTTCATGCGGACCGGATAGTGTGCTCCCACCATTTTCCCAACGTCCTAAGCCGCATGTTGGTGCGTGTTCGCCTTGATCCAAAGCTCCCAAACTCTCCAACACTGCCTTTCTAACCCCGCGCGTTTCCCGCGCAGAACGCGCTGGTGTGCTTCCAAGAGCTATTCAGCTTCCTGGGCCGCGCGATGGACGCGCATTTGGACGCGGTCGTGCCGACGCTGGCAAAGCGCGCGGCCGAAAACAGCGCGTTTTTGTCCGCGGAGGCAGACATCGCGCTGGGCGCGATGATCGCGAACGTGAGCGACGCGCGCGCGCTCGCGGCGCTGCTCGCGATCGCGGGGCACAAGACGCCCGGCGTGCGCGCGCGCGTGGCCGCGCACATCGAGGCGTGCGTGCGCAAGATGGGGCCGCGCTGCAGCCGGGAGCTGCTCGAGAGGTGCGCGCGCGCGCATTTAGTTCCGACTCCTTTGTTTTGAAAAATCGACTTGATGCCAAACTTTTTAGCAAGCAAAGCAGGGCGATGGAGTGGTCGTTGTAATAATTTCCAGCGTTGCTTGTCGATGCCCAAATGACTTGAGTGACTTGAGTAAATTGGTCAGTCTCGATGATCTCTTGGCTTCCGACTTCTCGAGAGCAGTGTGGTTCTTGAGGAAGCTTCGCGTTCCGTTAACCGAGTTCGTGAATCCATCTTCGTGTTTTGGATCTGCAGGCTCTTCTCCCAGTTGCTCATGTTCTTGGACGAGGGCAACATCGAGACGCGGATCTTCGGCAAGCGTTCCCTTTTCGCATTGAGCAGGTGAGCTTTCCTTCATATTGTCCTTGAAATACCCCATAACAATCAAACGCCTCATCGAACAGCATGTTTCTTCCTTCCGGGGACTTAGTTTGAGCACTCTCCGAAGCATCGGAACCTCCTATCAGTTAACAAGTACCTTGGCCACGTGTAGACTCAAGCTCAGTGCATTAAAATCACCCCGTTGGTGTCTTTATCTGTGTGATTGCGGGCACACATGCTCCAGTGGTATCCGTTGCATCCATGCTCTCTCGCTGGTTCATTCTCACGACTTCTTGACTTTCTTACTTCTGGATCTGATCCACAAACGAGCCCTCGAATCTCGGCAGATTTTCAAGCAAAGGGCTACGCGGTCCGCAACCGCGTCCTCCCTGAATCCCCTGGTAAACACAGCCATCTTAAAATTGTCTTCTTATTTTCCACTCGGCTTCTTGTTCACCACATCGATCCGAAGTTAGTGTTTGGTGTTCCGCAGGCTTCTCGCCTCGAGCGGCGACTTCGAGCCGCTCCTCAAGAAGGTGTCCAACCCCGCCAAGCTCAAGGCGGTGCGCGAGGTGGTGGCCGCAAATGCGCCACCCCCCCTCCCCCGAGAGCCCGGCAAAGCCTCCCCCCTGCGGCGAATCAGTCGCGGCAGCACCGGGGAATCGGACGCCGGGCTCTCGCACACTTGGACGTCCGGAACCGAAAGGGGGGGGGTCGGGAAGGAGAAGAAACGGCTGGCGAGCACGGCCCCCGCGGCGGTGCTGGCGCTCGGGAAGGGATCCCCCTCGGCGGTGTTGGCGAGTTTGGGGGGGGGTGGGATTGGCGTGGCGCGGAGCCCCCCCGTAGGGGGGAGTAGAGACCAGTGGGGGGAGAGTGACGAACAACCCCCCAAAGCGAAAGCGAAGCGCGGCGCGAGTCCTGGGCGGGCTCGGGGGGGGAGTTCCGGAGGGGAGTCGGGGGGTGGGGGACGAGGTTTTGGGCCCGGTTATAAACGCGCTGGGGGGGAAGGGAGTTGGCGGGAACGGTGTGGGGGGCTGACGGATTTGGGGGCGCTGTTGGACGAGCAGTCCCCGTCCGCGATCGAGGCATCCGTGGTGCAGATTGCGGACGGCCTCGCGCCGCGAATGACCGACGCCAACAGCAAGGTGAGCCGCTTTCGAAGCGTACGGGAACTATGCCGGGAGATGGAAAGCAACGGTAAAGATGACTGGTGCGATAATCGAAAAACATCAAGGTGCAAAATTCCGAAAAGCGAAAAACTACTTCAAGAGAAAGGCCGACAGGAGTCCCATCAACAGTCATTCAGGGGACAGCCGTTGCCCAACGTTCTAAGACAATATGCACGAGGAAATGCATCCGTGCATGTTCGGTATTGACTCTTGACTGCCAACTTGTTTGGACTAAACCTTCCTCTCTTCGCGAGGAGGGCTCCAATCGTTTGCGGGTGACTCTTGCGTGCTGCAGGTGTGTTCGCAGCTGTTGGGACTCCTTTTGAGCGGCGTGAGCCCCTTATTCAAAAAGAAGTTATAGTGAGGAATAAGCCGCTGGCATTGAAGTCACTCAGGGGACGTCCTTTTTTCGTAAGAATGAGAGCTCTACAGTTCAGGGCGTCACTCGAGCGACGTAGCCCCTTACTGGTCGAAGCTACATCAAGAAGGCAGGTTAAGGAAACAACTGCTGAAACCGACTCATTGAGCGTCTTTGTCTGCGCTATTGCAGGTGACGCTTGCGGCGCTGCAGGTCTGCTCTCAGCTGTTGGGTGTACTCTCGAGCGGCGTGGGGCCCGCCCTCGGGGTGCTCCTCCCCGCGCTCGCGTCCGCGCTCGGGTCCTCGAACGACAAGAACGCGGCCGCGGCCGCGGACACGTTGCACCAACTGGTACGTTTTGACCATTTTCCGTTGTGTCCGGATGGGGGATTCTCCAGTGGATTGCCGAAACAACTGTATCTTGTTCTCAAATATTGATACTGCCTGCACAGCGTGTTCAGAGCATGCGTGGACTTCTTTCCGGAGCCCAACCGGGGCCAAACAGGCTTGTTTCCTCCGAGACGAAGACGAAGTGCGAGAAAAAGCGAGGAAGAAAACAAGTTTTCTGAACCGCGAACCACTTCGAAGCGTTGCTTGCTTTGAAACGGATGCTCCGCTTCGACTTCAATGTGACATAGAAGTCCGTGATATGCGGTCCTCTCCCATCTTCATCCGGCATTAGTCGTGAGCTCGACCTAAACAAAAGCGGTTTGTGCAGATTTGGAGATTGCTAGTTCACGTTACGTGTGTGCTGCTTCCGGCATCTGACTCTGTCCTCATACTCAACGCAGGCAAGTAGAGTGGACCCGGTAGTTCTGGTGCAGCCGTTGACCGCGCGCGTGACCCACGGCGGCGGCCGCGCGCGCTGCCTGCTGCTGGACTGCCTGACCGCGCGCATCCACGAGGTGAGTCATTACCTAGTTTTGGTCGAGCATTTTTTCTCCTCCAACAGTCCGGACAGAACCAGCTCAGACTCCGCGGCTTTTCGACCGCAATCCTCATCGTACTTGGGAGCCATTGGCGACTGCCGCGCACTCGATTGCACTCGCTAATTCCAGTCCATCATAAGGGTCCTCTTTCGCTTCTTCCAAACAATCCTCTTTGCTTCTATTCTTTCTTTTCCGTTCAATCAACCCGTTGCGTGCTTGTACCTCAGCTGGACATCCAGAAGCGTGTACTCATAAGCAAGGCCGTGCTCTTCGTTCCCTCACATTCTTCTCTTATGTTCCCTTTTATCTAGCTTGTCCTATTTTGGCGCAAGTGCCCGCCCCAAAGCCGTTATGCCAAACGCATGCCGAACGCGCGTGTCTTTCCCTACCAAAGGCGTCGTTCCTTCGTCCGTTCCGTAGCCTTGTTCCGTTTCCTTAGGTGCACGCTGGAAAGCCGATCCTCATAAGCAAGCCAAATACTGCTTTAGAGGCAATAGAGTGCAAGTTTGAAAGCTGCGTTGCCCTTAACCTCTTGACCTCTTCAAAACGTGGTCTCGTCCTTTCATTCCGCTCCGTTACCTTGTTCCGTTTCGGGCCGCAGGTGCACGCCCTGAAGCCGGTGCTGATCAGCAAGGCCGTGCTGCCCATCGTTTCGATTTCTATATACATGGCGTCGTCCGTTCATTCCGTTCCGTGATCTTGTTCCGTTGTCCGCCGCAGGTGCACTCCCGGAAGCCGGTGATGATCAGCAAGGCCGTACTACCCTCCCCTTTTATATAAGACCGTCGTCCTTCTTTCCGTTCCGTAACCTTGTTCCGTTTCCGGCGCAGGTGCACGTCCGCAAGCCGGTCTTTGTCAGCAAGGCCGTGCTGCCCCGATGGCCCTTGCCTTCTTCCAAACGATCATTCCGTCCTCTCATTCCTTTCCGTAACCCTGTTCGCTTCCGTCCGCAGGTGCACGCGCGGAAGCCGGTACTGATCAGCAAAGCCGTGCTGCCCATGGCCCTGCCGTTGGTGGGCGAGCCGAAAGGCGACACGCGCACCGCGGCCGCGCGGCTGCTGCGGCGGCTGCACCAGCTGATGGGCGACGGCCTGCTCAGCCAGTGCGACGCCATCTCCAAGGTGAGCGCGCGCGCGCGGACACCAAACTCAGATTTGACGAATACCATCACCAAAGGTCTCGAGTGTTGACTCGAGTGCTGATCGCCTAAGTATGGTTGCTATGATGCTGAATGCAAAAATGCTGGTTGCCTAAGTGCGAACTGCCCGAGTGCTGGTTTCCTTACGCGCCAAGCACTTACTCCCAAAGCGCTGATTGCTCAAGTGCCTGTCGCCTTCCGTATTGCCGATTGTTTTGACGCTGATTGACTAAGCGGTTGCTAAGCTCTGATTGCCGCATTTCTGTTTGCCTAGGGGCTTTCTCTCTCATTTGCTGGATATGTAAGAAGGTGATTACTCGAGCGTTGAATCAGTTGACAGGTGAAACCAACGAATTGAGGGTTTGAGTACGTCCGGGTCAAGTTTCTGGAAATCATATCGTGACAAGACCGCGGTGGAGCTTCGTGAAATCTTTGAGACCTTAACCAGGTCCAAGCAAAGACGCAGGCTTGACCAATCAAATGGAGTTCCGCCGTCTCTTTCCGCAGGCGAGTTCCGAACGCGTTGCCGACCTCCTCTTCCGAGAAAGCGACCGGTGACGAAAGGTCACCGTCTGCAAGCTGACGCGGCAAAGTCATGAGAAGAAGGTGCGAAGGTCGTGAAGCGGCTGACTGAGCGCATTCAGCCGCTACCAAAAAGGCTTCGCCTTTAGAAAGAGCTCTCCAGAACGTAAATTCATCCCGGCAACTCGGACAGCAGGAGAACTAGAGGCGGCCGGGAGTAGAGCTCGTACGTGTTGCAAAGAGAGAGAAGGGAGGATTTTGATTCGATTCTTTCGAACTTTTTCGTCGAGATCGCGAGCAGAACTTGCCATTGGGCGAGTTAAACGCGCTTAGAGCACGCAAAAGACATGCTGAAGCACCAAGTATACAATGCTTCAACTGGATAATTATGAAACCCGGGCCCAGCGAAGCTATTAATCTCAACACGATAAAGACGTTTAGCTGAATGTTGCGCTGGACGGTCCCGTCCTTTACTACTATTTGTGCATAGCTAGAAGTAGGTAGGAGGCCCTTTATGAAACCCATAAAAAACTCACATCAGTGAGCCGAGAGAGCCAAGCCCGACAATTGTGTTTCCTTAGTTTAGCGTGCAAGACGGGCTTTTACACAGCCAATCATCCGGACCTGGCGCGCACCGTCATGCGGCCGCCAAGTTTGCGCACACTGCGGCGCGCGTGATCGAAAGCTCGAGATGAACCCTCAACCATCACTGGACGTGATCATCATGGCATGTGTTAGGCGGGCGTCAGAAACGCTGAAATGCAGAGCTTCATGCAGCTCTGCATGTGGGGCACACAAATGCAGTGAAGCTGCGCGTACATACGTGAAGCATTAAGAAAGTCAGCTTCAATGACTTATCGGTGTACCTATATGTGGGCATGGCGGCCTTTTCCGATGAGTCACTGACCAAGCAAAGCATGGGTACGTCATGTGTGCTACGTATAAGGTCGAGCATATACTTAGGTAAGAAGCATCGCGATCGTGCCGCTTGGATTCATTCAACATGTGCAAGAATGACTGTTGCCAATACGCCTACATCCAAGACCCGTGTCATGTACGTGCCGCTGGCCGCGGCTGGCGGAATCACTTAACATACAAAAATTGGCGCGACCCGGCACACTATAAGTCTCATACAGCTATGTCCAATCATTTATTGAAAACTTGTTTAAAAAACAACGATTGAAGTTTGCGAACGGGTTTGCACATGGAGCTGAAATTCAAGGCACGTCTTTCCAGATCAATTATCCACGGCCAGACGGTAGACACTGGCGTTGAATCTCCTTCTCCTTAACCAGACCAAGGAGATCCTGTACGTAATTTCAAAACGTTAGACCCCGATTTCAACATATACTGTAACCCGTGGACTGAACTGTGTTTGTGATGGGAGCGCTTGCAATAAAGTACACTTTAGTTCATACATGTGCGCGACTTCTTGACGTCATCCAGTCCTTGATACAGGCTCTGTTGCTTCTGTTCGCGTTGCTCTCTAGATGAATAGCCTGCCTAGATTTATGAAGATCGGACGGCCTCCAAGTTGATCTCTTCACCTAACCTCATGCGGCATTTACATACGCTATACAAGACCCCCCACCCGCCCACCCACATAAGCAACCCCATGCCCCCAAACCCTAAGCCCCTAGTCATCTGCGAGCGCCCGGCTCATCTCCTCCGCCGTGTAAATGATTCTCTGGCACGCACCATCGCTGCCGAGAACTCCGCTATTCATCATTGCACGATCGTACTTCTTGTCGCTAAGCACCGAGAAGCGCACGTCCACCTTCTCGCCGACCGCCGTCTCGAGCACCTCGACCAAGTGCCCCAAACTCTCGTCCACGCCATCCTCCTCTAGTTCGTCCCAGTACCGGTCAACTTGGTTAACCAGGGTTACGATCTTGGTGTCGGGGAAGCGCGCGCGCACTTGCTGGTAGAGGTCGGCCACGGAGCGCGTGATGCCGTTGCCGTAGTGGAGCACAAGGACGAAGAAGCTCGGGAGCGAGCGGAAGTTCTGCCAGGCCACGGCCAGCTCCTGCAGCGGACAAGAGCGCCTTTGGAAACCGTTTAAAAGGCTCTCTATTCCTCTGTTACATCTCAAGCTTTTCAAACTTCCCAAGTCTTCTGTTTACTGGGCGCAATTTGCAATCTCGAGGGGTCTTGTGGAGGTTTTGACGGGCCTTGATCGTCGTTAAAAACGAGCTGGCAGAGCGGATTGGCGGTCTGTGACGAGGAAGCCCCTCGATACCGAAAACAAGAGGGGGGCGGGAATCACAACCCAAAGAAGCTGCGTCCGAAAGTCGTCCGGTGTAAGACTGTGACCATCCTTTCTACAGAAGTATGATTCAGTGGAACTGTCTCCTAGAATAGGCCCCTCCCTCTTCTTGGCTACTAGGCCCGGCAAAGGACGACTGATCTGGACTTTGATCAAGTACGAAACGTCGAAACACATACTATAATAGCAGAGGCGGTTCCTAGCCTGCAAAGAGACGGTTGGCATTCCGTACTTCCCTTCCACTCGCTCTAAGACCCAAGCGCAGGAGAAATACAGATTCCTAAAAAACTTACGACCTCGACGAATGTCTCAACTCACATCCGAAATGCTGTCACTGCCGGGGCAGTCCAGGATCCATAGCGTATCCTTGAGCTGGTAGGCGCCAACGCGCTTGGTGTGCGCTTTGATGCCGATGTCCGCCACGCCGACGTCCTTGCGGCCGAGTGCGTCCGCCATTGCCTTGATCAGCGTGCTCTTACCTGCAAAGAGTCACGGGGAGTCGGCTCGTTCATAGCCTGTAACTTTTGAAAGGTACGTCCATGCTGCGCGAAAAATCCTGAACAAGACACTTTCCAAGGTGGACACAAAGAGCCGTCCATCCGCAAAATCTTCGAAGTGAAGGTGAAAGGAAGGCTCTGTGACCAGGTTGTTCAAAATATCCAGAATGCACAGGTTTTCGCAATTAACCAGATTGGCTGTGTCTCAAAGCAATCAAAACGGTTCCTTTTCATCACGAAAGACACGGGTACACTTCTACGAAACTGGGACCCTCGTAGCGTCCGGTCACAGCGCTCTGTCGAAGCAAGCCTTACCATGCCAACGGATTCCAGTCGAGAGTGACGAATCGACAGGACTCACTTGCCAAGCTGCAACACACATGTGTCTGGCAGCCCGGAAGGCCTACCGGAACTTCTTCTGGCTCCAAAACCCACCTGCGTTCTGCGGACCAATGACGCCCACGAAGCACGTGTTCCACACCAGGACCTCCAGCTGGTCAACCAGGTCAAGCAGCCTGCGTGGGCACGTCGGAGTCAAACGTCAGCAATGACGGAAGTTGACCCACTGGTGACCGCACCAACAAGGACTTGACGCACTAGCTGCTGGCGAAGCTTTCCGTCTCTGATAGTTGCACCTACTGGCTGAGGCGGTGGGTCTTGCAAGAAGCGAGGCCAGTCAAGCAGTCTGGATGTCTTTGTGAGTTGTAAGCTGGGACCCTTGTGGCAGTAGTCCGAAACTATCAAGCGAACAACCAAAGAAGGAGGAAGCGAAAACTGAGGCGGCTTAGTAAAGGCGCGCCGCTGTTTGTAAAGGGTGCACTTCAGACGGAAATCAGGGCTGCAGATGTTTGAGTCTGCAGCAAGGACCAAAGCAGACGACCGCCTCTGAAGCGCGCATATTGTTTTGCCCCATATTGCCTACCTGGCATGCTGCACGAGGGTTTCAATGCTTGCTGACGTCAAGTTCGTCGTGGCAACCCCACAGATGCGAGCCGACCGCCCTGCGTGCTCCGCCGTCAGCTTTGCAACAATCTCTGCATTGGGAAGCGCTGCGAGGTCCAGCTCCCTCCATTTGGACAGCATGCGTGCCTTGAGGACGTCCGGGTCCTCGATGGGCTCATCTGAAAGGTCCAAATGTAAGCTTCAGTTTACTTGACATGTCACGAAAGTGAGAACTTGAGAACGAGAAGTATTTTCAACACGAGTAGACGACCAGAAGTTTCTCAACACGAGTAGACCACCAATTCAATAGTCTGCGCAACGCAGGAATGCCAGAGTCCTTCAGAGACCTTCTGAACAACCTGGAGGGCACCAATAACGGTATTCCAAAAAAAACAGGTCACAGAAAGAGTGCACTCGGTTCGATGCTAGATGTCAAACTTTGAAGACCTTCGGCTCTAAACAATTCTCTTAGGAAGAAAAGTACAATAGTATGTAGCAAGGATGACCTCACAATTGAGAGCTGGCTTTTTGGGAACAGAAAGACAGAGACAAAAACCAAGTTTGCCGACCCTGGTGATGCAATTACTCATAGCTGGGACACAACAAGCAACCAGAACTTGCAATGCAAGCCTGAAGATGCAGACTGCTTGATGCAAATCCAAGTTGCGACGTCATACTGACGAGTCCGTCAGGTCCTCACATGGCGTCCCCGAGCCCTCCGTCAAGTACCCCAGCATGCAATCGAGCATCTTGAGCCGTGCCACCTGGCCGACTTTGACTGGCCGGCAGTGCGCCTTGAACATGTCCAAGACCCCCAAAGAAGCAGCGGTCGCCCCAGGCACAACTGCACCCAGGCCACACAGGCTGGCGACTCCGCTTGCGGCCTCGACGGCCGCAGAAGCGGCGCTGATGGCGGTGGGGTTGAAGAAGATGTTGTACCTGAAACAAGGTTGGTAGTGACTCAGTCTTGAGCACAGCGGATTACTTTCTCAAGCAGACGTTCGAGATGCAGAGCATTTGTACCGCGATGGTTCCTCCGGACCCTCTGTCAGATTTCTTGTACTGCGTGCGCGAGTTTCTCCTGTTGGAACAAGCAGGAACTTGGTTTCCAGAGACTTATTCTCAGCTTTTTCTGTGAGAAGGGGGATGCAGTCCGAGTTCTGCTTATATGTATCATATGGGTTGGACACATGCTATTCTTACTCCCAAGAAATGGAAGACCATGACTGGACAGTGAGTTCGAAGAGCATAAGCTGATGGCTTCTGAGGCTGAGTGAGTCTGATACTTAATATTTACGGCTTGAAAGTGTCTCACTTCATTATGAGAGCTTTTGGCTTGTCAAAAAATGAGGGCGCCTGTGAACAAAGCAACAATCAGTAGCATCGTTAGCAACTGTTATCAACAATTGACGGTATATCGAGCAATTGCTGAACAGTCTCTACCTAACAATACATTGCATCAAAAATACTAGGACTACCCCACGTTATAGTCTTCTAAACAATCTAATATGCCATGTGAAGGCAACTAAGACCAGGTCCGAAACCACTCACGCAGTGTATGCACTGGCCAGACTGGCCTCCGCCGCTAGCACTGCGGCCCCCGCCCCAACAAACAGGAGAGCGCTCATCCCTCCCACCGTGCCAAGGAACTGCATTCTTTTCTTGCGCCTCTCCCGAGCCTTCTCTTCAGCTTGCGTCAGCTGGACGCGCACCTCAGTCAACCTAAGGGCCTCAGTAACCTTGCCAAAGAAACCTTCCAGGGCTGTCATCACCGTTGCAGACTCTGTGAGGAGATGGAACCGGAGGGGTCATCATGTGAAGTGACGAAACAGGAGGTGAAGGTTAACAGATGCCTTGGACAACCTCTGAAAGCCAACTGAATCTAGGAGAGACAAAATGGTTTGAGTCCTGTAAAGGTTGCCAGGTCGGTTGGCAGGTTGGCAAAAGGAGCCTTTATATTCAAGACATGCACGAATGGGTCACAAACTGCTCTTTAGTAACAATTCTGCAACTTTGTCAAGCAGCTTGACAATCCTAATAATTATAAGTGCTTAAACCTTTTTCAGAAAGACTGCATTGGCACATCAACATAACAAACTTCAAAGCTTTGGTTCGATCCCGGTGTTGTTGAGCATTGAAAGACAGCGAGTGGCAAGCAGCCATACAAATGCATGTCATGATGCAGAATCTAGATAGGTTACTCCGCAGTTGTTACAAGTGACCTGAACAAACGCTGAGCAGCCCGCTCAGCAATCACAAAGACAGTCAAAGAGTTATCAAGCAAATGTGCACATTAGCAGTTGGCTTCTCACCGGCCTTCTCTGCTGTCTGAACCTTCAATGTGTCGTGCACAGTTGGGATGCCATCCAATGGGCCTCCGACCGTCTCCTCCAACCGCATCAAAAGCTCAATGGTTGCCAAAGCCGCACCCTGCTCACTCGCCTTTGGCAGGCTCTTCTGAAGGAGCGCGAGCTCTGTCACCTTCCTCAGGATCACCAGTGTGGCGGTGTTATCCTCCTCCTTCAAATCAGCTTCCTTCCCCTCCTCAGAAACCTCCGCAAGGACTTCTCTTGCAGTTTCAATCGCAGTCTTCGCGATTACACTATCGATGGTCATTGGGGCCCAGTCCAGCCCCGACTGCATCATCTGCTGTGTCTCCTGCTGACCTTGGCTTTGTTCCTCCTGCTGAGCCTGGCTTTGTTCTTCTCGCTGTGCCTCCAGCGACTCTGCTGAATTCGACACCTCAGGCTTGATCACTGAGCTCTGCAGATCGGGTTCTGGAAGTGGAAGACTGGGAGGGTTTGCAATTGGACCAGCTTCTGGTGACTGCGACAGACTCTCCTCATCATGTCTCAACATGACGCTGGGTCTTTGCTGCAATGGGGGGTTTCTAGGCCGCTCCCTTGGCACGATATCAATGTCCAGGTTTGTTAAGTACTCCAGAACCAAAGCATTGCTTGCTGCAGACTCCGAGGTTGTGGACGCCGCGGACGAAGGAGGCTTCTGGTCGCCAGCATCTGTGACCAGCTCCCACTCCATCAGGTTCTCCATGACAAGCGACTCGACACCACCACCCATTTGCTTCAAGTGAGGGAAGTCGGCTTCAAAGGCCAGGCGATGCTGGACCTTTTAATGGCGAGAGACGTGCATCAGAAGTGAGTGCTTGGCTCGAACATGAGAGAGCGCGCTCCAAACAAAACTAGCTCCTCAGCTTCACTGAGCAGCTCAGCTCAGCTTTGCTGCTGGCCCCTCGAATTTTCCCCGTTTTCCTTCTTGATCAGGGAGGTTAAGCAGTCGGTAAGACCTCGGCTAAGCCCCTAACCTGCTCTAACCCTGTTTCACTCGCCTTGTGGAGCTTCACCCTACCGGGTTTTGAAAGTGGGTTATATCCAGGTAGATGTAACGTGTTGATGCACCAGGCTGCTGCAGTATGAATCAGATTCATGGCTGTCAAGCAAGAGAGGAGGAGGCTTCTAAAAGATAGGTGAACAGCAATCCTTACACGTTTTGTACAGGAGCTGCAGGCAATTGTCCTTCCTTCTTTCCCCATCCTCACAGCGACGACGTTCTCATGGGGTGTGCTGCCGGCAAAACCAGCGCGGTTGACGACAAGGAACCGGGGCCTCAAGTCTTCTCCCCAGGCCTGAGGCACCCCTCCAGTGATGCGAACTTTCGTGTGGAGCTGAGCGGGAAAGCCAGTGACCCCCTTGTGGAGACACTGAGCACACTTCGCACCAGAGTTGGTGCCACCCTAAATGGAGCCACCAAACCACCTTCAGGTGAATCGCATTGGACTGTCTTTTGACTTTGTTGATGTCTCTCTTGCCAGCATTTGAAAGGTCTGAAGAAGATTTCTCAAACCTGTGGAGTGGATGATTGCTCTGATTGTGGTCTTGGCCACTTAGAAACCTGTGGCACTTGGTGGTTGGGTCATCAAGTAGACATACTTGCAGAAAGAAGCGGAGTGGTTCGTGGGTGCAGCTTGAAGTACTTCGCCGCGATTTAGTTCCATCAGTCTCTTGATACTAGTGAATATCAACGGGGCAGTATCACTGATACATATAGAAGTGGGGAAGCCTACCGACCACTTTGGCATGCCTCGAAACCACTTTGCCCAGCCACATGTCAGTTTGATTAACCCCTCGTTTCCACCCATGTTCGAGAAGTACTTCTGCATCCTGCAGGGCTCCACGGATTTTGAGTCGCTTGTCAACTTTGCTTCTGTTCGTAAGAGCTCCCAGTCAAAGGGGTGACCAAAAGTTTCTCATCAACCTCCCCAATTCGCTGCCCCGGAGCCTTGCCAGCTCACCCGCTCCAACTTGTCCTTGGAACTTTATTCCTGGTCCTCCTGGGGCAGCCGTAAGGTGG